TTGGACCAGGGGGCCGGGGGGGGGGGGCTCTGCAACTTGCCTGGCTGCTTCTTGCTCTGACTGAGGGCTGCCGGGAGCAGGGGGTGGGGCTTGTTGCATGTGCCCGCCCCCTGGGCTCTTTACTGCCGGAGCTCCGCTCCTGTGCGCTCCTGACCCTGCCACAAATTCTGTGGACTGGACTCTTGCTCTTTTCTAACACGGCTTCCCATCTCGTGCTTTCTTACGGACAGAGTCTCAGCACATAATCTGGCCGCTTTAATGGAGTGGTCGGCATGGAGGGAGATACATACAGCATTTTCCAGATTTCCCTGGGCACTTGGATAGAATAGCGATGAGATAAGTGGCACGGATGTCCGTATAAAATGGACAATATGATAACAAACGTTCCACTGTTTCAACTGTGTTCAATGGGCGGGACCACAGGCGTTGAGGGTAGCAAATATGTAAGTATCTCCCAGTAGCACTGAGGCCGGGCTATCACTCACACTGAGTGAACTCGTGGGTTGTATACATATTGGTTTCACACTGTTTTCAAAAATTTATCAGTCGGGGAGTATTGGTTAGTGAAAACTGAAATTGCTAACCAAGTTATCTCTGGGGCAGTCAATTTGTGATTTCAACAGCAGTGAATTATTGGCCGTCACTATTTATATTGCTTTATCTTGCAGAAGATTGCTTTCTGCGGCAATAAAATGTCAATCCTGTCCTGCTTCGATTCAGTAATTTTCCTAACCTGAGCGCCTGAACTCTCTCCAACGGCTGGCTTAAATAGACTAGAATAAACAAAGTGCCCCTAAATTAGCGACCTAACAACAACAAAACAGACTGTGCGGCTTTTAAATATGTTATGTTCCTGCATCTAATTGCAATTCAGCGTTTAGTTAACGAGAATTATTTTGCCGCTGTTGAATCAGATCATTTGTAAGTATTGGGAAAAAACAGACAAAAAACTACCCTCCCCCAAGTCACGCAGGAGGCAAAAAAATCCCCAGGCAAACTGTAACTGGTCTCTATTTAGTTTGGGACGGTAGACTCAAACCGCGTATATTTTTAAAACATTGGCACTTCATACCACCTTTGTTCCCAGTTCAAAGGTCATCTTAATGACGCAAATTGTTTCTGCCACTGACTCTTGTGACCTTGTGTGTGTTTACACTATTTTTAGTACTTTCTGAAATTATGTGAACATAACAGCGTAAGAGACCTACCGGATCAGACCAGTGGTCCATCTAGTCCAGCATCCAGTCTCATACAGTGGCCAACCAGTTCCTCTGGAAGGCCAACAACAGGACAGAGAGGCCGAGGCTTTCATAAGATCATCAGAAGAGCCCTGCTGGATCAGACCATTAGTCCATTTAGTCCACCATCCTGTCTCACACAGTGGCCAACCAGTTCCTCTGGAGGGCCAACAACCGGGCATAGAGACCAAGGCCTTCCCCTGATGTTGCCTTTTGGCTCTGGGATTCAGAGGATTAGTGCCTCTGAATGTGGAGGTTCCCTTTTAGTCTCCATGGGTGGTAAGCCATTGACAGACTGATCCTCCATGAATCTATCTAATCCCCTTTGAAAGCTGTTTATTCCTGTGGCCATCACTGCATCCTCTGGCAGCGAATTCCACGTTTTAATCCCAGCATCCTGTTTGGATGCGGCTGTAAATTGCTTGATGCTGTATAATAGGGCCGGTTGAACATCTTGAGGGGGTCTGTTTGCTACGCTCTTGGAAGACGAGAGAATGCTGGCAGCCACCGTTGCATCTCTCATCCTTCCGTGAAGAGCCCCCATCTCAGTCCTCAAATATATTTGCCAGGGCCCAAAGCACACGAATCACGACCCTGAGCCCGCCAGTTTGACTACCGTCCATAATGTCCTGACATCACATTGCAGAACCTAATCGGGGTAGGCCCTGGTTAGTGCTTGGTTGGGAGACCGCCAAGGAAGCCCAGGGTCGCTGCGCAGAGGTAGGCAAGGGCAAGCCACCTCTGAACGTCTCTTGCCCTGAAAACCCCACGGGGGTTGCCATAAGTCTGCTGCAACTCGACGGCACAGAAGAAGAAGAGGAAGAAGAAGAAGAAGAATAGGGAGGAGGAGGAGTTTGGATTTATACCCCGCCCTTCACTCAGAGTCTCAGAGCGGCTTACAAGCTCCTTTCCCTTCCCCTCCCCACAACACCCTGTGAGGTAGGTGGGGCTGAGAGAGCTCTTGACAGAGACTGCTCTTTTTCAAGAACAGCTGAGCCAGAACTATGGCTTGCCCAAGGTCATCCAGCCAGGTGCAAGTGGAGGAGTGGGGAGTCAAACCCGGTTCTCCTAGATTAGAGTCCGCGCACTTAACCACTACACCACACTGGCTTTCAACACCAAACTGGCTTTACACCCACACCATTCATTATGGTACGGATTAATTTTATGAAACAGAATCTTTTTAGAAGTGGAAATTTTTTTTCTTCTGGGGACAAAAGCGAGAGTGGATCGATTTCCCCCTAGGAAAATTTCTGCTACACATTCACTGCAGGTTCATCTGGGAGCTCTTCACAGGCCCTTCCCCGGTAGCCCGATGTGACCTATTCTGGATCTAAACCACTTCGATCTTTCTGCTCGGGAGCCAAGCACCCCGATTATTTTGTCATCTTGGGATCTTTGTCTGGGAAGGCGAAAGGCTGGTAGTAGATCAGAAATGCCTAGAAATCACAATCCAGTGCAGGTTGAAAATACTTCATGTGGGAATATGAACAACTCCCGTGAGGCATGCCCGGGACGAGTTCAGGTTCCCACCGGGAGATTGGCAAGCAGTGCACAAAGTCTGCATGAGTCTGCTGAATTACTCAGAGCACAAACTTTGCAACATTCGGGCAAGATAGGAGAGTTTTAGCGTAAAGAACGTTCTGTTATTAACATAGTCTGATTCTAGTTAGAGGCTTCTTCATTTTGTAACGTTTTCCACTGTACCATGTGTGAGCCTGCTTGATTCTAATAAAGCGCTACTGACAGGCAGTTCAGGAGAGGCAAAACAGTTTGGGACAGAGAGAGAACTGAGCTTGGTCAGAAAGCTTCAAGAGATCTGTTGTGTTGTGTCGTTATTGAACCCTAAACCTACAACTTCACTGTTGAACGTTTCATTAATGACCCGTGGAGATCGAGTGTCACGGTGCCATCTTGTCTCCTGAAGTCATAGAAGTTGTTCTTTCCCCCTTTTTTGCAGGAATCCCAGGAGATCACTACAAGCTTTTACACAATGAAGTGGTTTTTCCAGTGTTTCCTTGACCGTGTGAGTGTCCTTGGTTTGTTTCCCAGTTTCTGTCGTTCCCAAACACAAGGGGGGGGGGTTAAACCATGGGCTTCTTCTTTTGATTTGCTTTTTTTTTTTTGACACTGGATTCTCTCCTTGCAGACTCCCTTTAGGTTAACCCTCAGGATCTGGGATATCTACATACTTGAAGGCGAACGGGTTCTCACTGCGATGTCTTACACCATTTTGAAAATGCACAGAAGTAAGAGCTCTGTTTGGCTTCAGTCGCTAAGCTGCCATATTTGAGTGGTCAGCCGCCTAACGAAAGATGAGTTTGATGGGTGTCTTTCTCAAGCGTTGGTTTGTTTTCACCTTGCACGGGAGGGCAGGTTACATGACTGCTTAAGAACATCGAAAGAGCCCTGCTGGATCAGACCAGGGGTGTATCCAGTCTGGCATCCTGTATCACAGTGGCCAGCCAGTCCCTCTG